TTCAATAAAATCAAACAAAAGTTAAATATAAAGAAAGTCTTAAGCTATTCTGTCTTATCATATAGAATCAAAACTGATAGGCTGTTTTCCTGATGTCTCGTTAAAGGTTCGGTGTAAAAGAAATAAAAAAAAATTAAATTTATGACATATAGTAAACAACTCTACAAACAAGACGTATCTACTTCTACACCAAAGTAAGTCGAACAGGTCAAAGATACTGCTAGTGACCTCAGTGATTTTAAAACAATTTTTATCATCACCAAAGTAACAAGTGAATTACTTAGAAGTCTTTATTTCGTATAATAGTTATTACCCACATTTTGAAAGTGAAGAGAAAGGAAAATTGACCGTGTGTGGCCTAGTGCTAGTGTACCAGACAGCGGATCCAGTGTTTGAGCTGTGATGGCATTGAACACGCTTTGTACTTTCAACATTGAACTAAGCAATAATCTTTAATTCTTCAATAATACACCAATCAAAATTAAATAAAATTTTTATGTTCTTCAGTACTATATCAATCAAAATTAAATAATATTTTTATGTTCTTCAGTACTACCCTAATCAAAATTAAATAATATTTTTATGTTCTTCAGTACAACGCTAATCAAAATTAAATAATATTTTTATCTTCTTCAATAATACACCAATCAAAATTAAATAATATTTTTATGTTCTTCAATAATACACCAATCAAAATTAAATAATATTTTTATGTTCTTCAATAATACACCAATAAGTAGAAAGTAATATAATTTAGTTCTTCGACATTGCAACGATTACAAGTGTTGTTTTGTTGTTGTTGTTGTTTTTGCAGTATTTCAAATAATCTAGTCTTTTTTATAGTTTTCCAATAATACAACGGTCAGAAATATTACTCTATATCGTCTTCAGTCAAAGGTCAGTTATGTACTGTTCTCTATGCCTTTTAATTACTTTGTATGTTTTTAACTTACATTTTATTACTGACATCAAAGTACTGGTTAAAAAATAAATAGTGTTTGTATGATGTTTCGTAGTCATAATTCATGTACGCGGGAGTGCCTTATTAAAATAAAATAATAAATTTGTTGACATTCAAAACCCATTAGATGAATATATATATATATGTATCTTGTCTTTTTTCAAAATATTTTAAATATCGTTATTAGGAAATAAAGTTTCAGTTGAATATTTTTATTTCAAACACGTTTGTTTTATTGCCAAGAACAAAGCTGCCCAATTAAATATATGCGCTGTTCCCACCACAGGAATCGAACCTCGATTTTTAGCGTTAGAAGCTCTCACAAATACTGCTCAGCTTCCATATGAACATTTCAGACCAAAACGTAAACATTTGGTTACATTATACCCTGAACAAAACGTGTAAATCTAAACAAAATAACAAATTATCTATACAGTTGAATTTGTTTCTCTGTAATTTTAGGCAGAAGAATGCTATTGTAAACTGTATTATATAAGGTTTAGGTTTTATCATTATATTTTACATCTCAAAATAACAACTAAACGAAACTGATATAGTAACCTTTTTATACAGATATACATGTTTTATGATTTATTACTTAATTTCAACATATATATTAGTTACCAGAAAAACATGTGCTAAAGTAGATAAATAAAACTAGTGCACTGTATTTGGATGTATATATATATATGAGGGGTTAAGTTTTCCTTTTCCCGTTTAGTTACATCACGTAATGTATAATTTAAGTTTTTATTATTTTATTTTTACAAAATAATTGCCTGAACATGTATATATTGACATTTCTCTGCATATGCAGTTTCTAATTTGTGAACAGGAGTTTTATAACAGTAATGCAGTTGACACGTTGTACTTAATCCTCTATCAGCTAGTTAAGATTTCATCACCCTCCCCTCCGCTTCTCTTTCAAACCGTCCGGTTACTGAATATGGTCTCCGGCGTTCGACAAGAAGTTTCCCAGAACGTTGTAATCTCTTTCTACTGAAGTGTTGAGCCAGAAGCGGCGGAAAACACAATAATACTTTCGTCTTTACTGAAGCTAGGAACATCCATTGAAGGCAGCGTCCCGTTGATCTCTTCATCTGTCCTAGACATACAGATGGAAACTCTTATTGTTACCGCATCATCCCCTTTTTGGCCATCAGAAGAACTCAGTAAAGGGATCAAGCCCGAAGCGACAAGCTATATAAAAGTCCTAAACATGATCGTATGAGCGTCCTTTTTACAGGGCGCGAATCTGCTCACCTGCCACGCGGGAGACTTCACCAAACATCTTTGTTATGTTAAAGAGGACCTGGAACCCACCCGGTGGGCCTGTCTGTCTGGAACAAAGATGTAGCCCGTCCCGGTACATTCTTCAAACCCCTCTCTACGGTGTTTGTTACCAGAGTTCTAAAGATTGAAGACCTTTACAGAAAAGCTATGATGATTCTGATGAAGCGATCACTAGCCGGTTCTTGAAGCCACGTAAGCCCGACCTCTGCTAAGAAAGGGTCCGCAATATTTCAATGACAGATGAGATTCCCTGCTTTGTTGTGATATAGCAGAAAAATCCGTCTATAGAAGTGAAGGCAAGTGGAGCACAGCGAAAAGTTCCGCCTCATTTGATGTCTTTATCAATACTCTCCTGTCTGTCCATGGCTAAGACGATCGTACCTTGACCAAACTGTAATCTCTACTTTTATCTAAATGGTATCGAAAAGGAAACACCGGGAAAATGCTTAGTGAAATTGGCACGTAGAAGAAAGCTTTTTGCTATATTTCTAGAGGTGTAGCAGCATGTAAAGTTACCGCCCCAGTCTCATAGAGATTGCTGTTCTACGCTGCATATATGTTCATCCTAGTTGCTCTGACACTTATTCAAAAGTAAACTGTAGATCTAGGAACTTAATTGACTTATTTAACATCTCTTGAGGATATACTTTCTTGTATCAGTTAATTTGTTTTGTATAATAGTTAGTAGTCGCTCGATCTCTTGACGAATCTAATCAAATATTTGTATAGAAACTCTGGCTGCCCTGCTTGTTGAGTATCAATAATGTCTATTACTTGTTTGTATGCTTGCAAGAAAAAAAAATCAAAACATGATTTTGATTTAAATCATTTGCGAAAAAAAAACAAAAACAACGACTCAAAATGAAGGCTTAAGAATCACGTTATGGGTGATCGTAAAACTCAGGAAAAAATATTATTGCACCAGCAAACTAATATAACTCAGCAAATCTATGGCGTTTTTATTCTGATATTTATCAAGATTAGTTATAAAAGCTATAAATTCATATATAATAGTTATAGTAGAAAGCGTGGGAAATACATGTATTTAAAAACATTTAGAATGAAAGAGACAAACATGATTATGAAACCACTCTGTGAAGTCGAAAATATGAATTTAACATTAAAAAACTGCGTTATCTTGGGAAGTGTCCATCTATTAGAAACTCTTTCTACGCCCACGCTTAGCATTATCAACATAGCTTAGATAAGTAATAACTAACTGCGCGTCATATTCGTAGAAAACCTAATTTATCCAAAACGAATATTTTACTGATAAAAATTAATTATACTATCATTACGATGTAGTTGGGAAGAAGGGTTTTCTTTTTCATTACTATAGTTGTGCTGTTGTGGGGCTCCAGTGACACAACGGTATGTCTTCGGACTTACAACGCTAGAAACCAGGTTTCGATACCCGTAGTGGGCAGAGCACAGATAGCCCATTGTGCTTTATTACAAACAAACTACACACTGTTGTTGGGTTCACCGCTATGTGATTGTGTTAAAAAGTTGCTAATAATTTAACTTCATTCGTAAAGCAACAAAGTACCTGTTTTTTCTCGTTTTATTTTCTATTGGATTAGGGAATTGTTAAGTAGAAAGGATGTTTTCTAATTAATGTATTCGATTTCCATGTAAAAAGCGTAAGTTTATTTATGTCATTTTAAAACTGTTTTTAAAATATCGGTTATCAACTCTCTTTCATTTAGACACAAAGTGATATTAGGTGATGGATATAAATCGCAAAGAAATTTCTTAAAAATGGATTCAATGTTTAACATAATTCGACTAATTTTGTAGTCATCTTTCCATAAATCACTTAATGAAGGCTTCAGTCAGGGGCAGGTATGACGATAGAGATTTATTATAATTAAGTTACAAAACTTCAATGCAAAAAAAAGCCTTGTATAGGGTTAGAAACCCAATAAAAATGTATACGATTATTGTTAATAGTTTATTAATATTAGGATCACATTAGCAAATATTGTATCACCGAAGATCTATACAGCAGGTAGTGAATGCTGTAGAAGAGGTAGTACTGAATTAAGAATGTGGAACAAAGTGTGTTATTATAAAGCGGTGACTGCTGTACATTTGATAATTTATAAAGAAGTTTTTATAAAACAATTGTGTGATAACTTGTACAGCAGTTGCTGTATTGAATAATTTAGAGCAGGCGATGATGTATTGAAAATATGGAACAAAGTAAACTACGTATTATATAGAATAGATTACTGTATGCTTGATAATGTGTACAATACTTTGTGTTGTATTAGGTACAGGACAGCACGTTATGTTGCGCGATGTCTGTACAGCGGGTGTTATTATATATTTTTCATAATGAACAAAAATCAAAGATGAGATTTGCTAAATAACAAAATAAGCATAAGCTTAAAACAGGTTATTCAACATCTAAAATAAGGCAATCGTTCGTATTTTAGTTTTAAGTTTCTGAATGTTAAAACTAATAAAGTTATTGTGAAAACTTGGCTCCATATAAATTGTGTATCAAGTAAATGTCTTAAAAGTAAAAATATTACGAATGGCCTGAAAACATTAAGGTTACATGCATATTTTGTATTTATATAGATTTAGAGAATGTAGTATCGAAAACTAACAATAATGTCACTTCAAAGCAAAATCTTTATTAAAAAATATAAGTTGTGTTCAAATCATAATTAATCCTTATTATGTCAGAAAACTTTGTGCACGTAGTCATGGTTTGCATTAATTAAAAAATACAAAATTACTCAATTTATGTTATTTATTGGAAGAATAACCAAACAAGATATTTTCTTTTACATGAACACCAATCAAAAACAAACAACTCATGATTAGTTTAGGATATTGTCTCCTGTACATTAAATGGCTCAGAAATTAAGTAACTACAAATATCTAAAGATTCCTAAAGAACGGACAATACACAGAAAGATAATTTGGTGGGAAACATAACATATCAAGGTGATAATAATTATTTTTAAGTTAGCAGTATGTTATTTCATGACTAAACCTCACTAGAACATGTAGGAGTATTAAAGAAGATAAATTAGTGAGAGACAATTCTGTACTTGTAGATTAAACCATCACCATACAGTTCTTCCCAGTCATTGTGTAAGGCACCTCTTTGTGGGTCTTCGTTGTGAATTCAACATCTTGGTTAGTAAAATGTTTTTGGACACCATTTGTACCCTTAGTGACCACTGACCATGATATGTTGGGCAGAAAAGAACTGCTGACAGGAGTGGTTTCGGATTGTGACACCGTTTCTATAGAAGATGGACCACTTTTCAGTTTAATATCATACTGAGGGCTTGGCATGCCTATGACTGGAGTACTTTGGTTCTCGTGTAGGTCATTGTAAGTATGAAGTTCTTCGTCTTCTTCTTCAGAGTTTATGGAGCAGGGAGATTCTGATGGATCGCCGCCTTCATCTTGTCTTCTTAATTTCACGGTGTTCACGGGAGTGCATGTAATAGTCTGGGAATCTTCTACTTCTACCATTTCTTCATCTTCTTCTAGTTCTTTAAAACAATCGTCGAATAACATCGACTCATGTTTCTTCAAGTGTCGATCCAGGTTAGTCTGTTGTCCAAAGCTACGATCACACAGTGTACACTTGAACGGTTTCTCTTTGTTGTGGATGTTCCTAACATGACGTTGGAGGTTGGAAGAAATACTGAATGACCTCTCACAGTACTGGCATTTATACGGCTGTTCTCCTGTATGCGTTCTAAGATGGCGAGTGAGATTGGCAGAGCGGGGAAACACCTTACCACAAAACTTACAGGAATACCGTTCTTTTTGTTTTCTAGAGAGCAAAGGGTTCATTTCTTCCAAGATCCTTTTTCCTGGTGTGAAATATGATGGAATATAACTGAAAGGATTAAAAGTACCATTTGTGTAACCAGGATTGAAAAATGGGCCTCGGTAAGGAATACCGACAGATGGACCTCCCAACAAACCTGAAAATTGAGATATAGCAGTTGCTGCAGGTTTTAATTGGTGAGATGGGCTGGTAGCTTTTACTTGAATTCGAGTATTAGGCGATGTAGAACCATTTGTCAATAATATGTTTTGAAATTTTTTTTTCGGCTCTATGTGTTGCGTTTCTTTTTTCGAATCTATTACCTCATTTTCTGATTCACCCGTGTTGTTTTTAGAACCATCTAGAATATCTTTCTTTGATATTACTCTTAGATCGAGCGGTTCGTCAATCGCTTTTATATCTTCCTTTTTGCCGCTCTCTTCTTTAGGAACAGAAGACTTACTTAAATCATAAGGCAAGTTACAAGGCTCTGACGCATGTTCTTCTAATGCCAATTTGTTGCTCTCTGAAAAGTGAAATTGACTAGGAATGTTCAAATGGTTGGCTTCTTGAGATCCTTTATGGAAAGCAATTGATTCACGAATTTCTTGAATTTTCGGGTAAGATCTCCAGGAAGATTTCTTCTCATCAGAGAGGTTTTCGAATTCTTCTTCCTCATCGTCTTCGTTTTGAGACATTAGAAGATCTTCTTTATCTGATTTCTGATCTTCTGACATTTTGGAGTATTTGCCTTCAGAAGAGGACCCATGTTGACTTAAGACAGGCTCTCCTCCAGAAATACTGTTATATGCCCGAAGCTGGTTAAGATGAAAAGTATTTAATGCTGTTGACAGCTGGTTGCTAGATAACAGGGAATGAAAGGGTGATATTGATGCCATAGGAAACATAGGGTAACCCATAACAGGTGACGGATAATTTGGAAACCACGGTTTGGGGTAGAATGGTAGTGATGTAGGTGTTAGGTTTGAACTATTTGACATTTCTGTGTTTTGAAGATAATTGGGCTGTTCGGGTATGACACTACTACCATTCTGTAAGCTGTTCCCTTCACAAAATCTCTTATGCTTAGACAGAGAAGAAGCCGTCGAAAATCTCTGACCACATCGATGACATTTTACTTGCATTCGACAGTTGGCATGCATCCTCTTGTGTCGACACAAATTAGAAAATTGTGTGTATGCTTTCAAACAGACTTCACACCGAAAAGGCTTTACACTGCTGTGGATATGCATATGCTGTTTCAGGCCACTAGATGTTGCGAATGTTTTCCCGCAATCTGGACAGGCGTGAGAACGTGCTCCAATATGTTGAGAACGGATATGGCGCTGCAAGTTGCTGGGATCTGTAAACACTTTATTGCAGTTTTCGCACATATAGTTACGAGAATCGTCGTGTGCCCCCTGGTGGCGTATTAAATTACTTTTCCAATGAAAAATTTTGGGACACTGGTCACACTTGTATTCCTTTTCGTGGTAGTCAGCGTCTTCTGGATTTGTTCGTGATGTTGTACTCAATTGGTCAGTTAACCTGTATAAAGAAAGAATATCCTTAAAGTAAAACTAAATAAATTGTTGATTAATGTTTATCAAATTCAATATTTTCCGATAATTATTGAGACTTTGAAATGAGTCAAGCTAGATAAATCCCAAGTATCTGAGACTTTGAAATGAGTCAAGCTAGATAAATCCCAAGTATCTGAGACTTTGAAATGAGTCAAGCTAGATAAATCCCAAGTATCCATTAGTATTTGAAGTACTTAAAAGGGAGAAGTTTTAAGAATTTATGTATAATTATAATCAGCATTTAAATAATATACAATCATTTCATATATCCTGTACACAAGTCAGTGATTTATCTGGACTATGAACGTTTAAAAACATTTCATGAACATTATTCAAACACACTTACTAAGTTTACTAATATATATTTGCTATTCATACAAATATAAACTGTATCAGAAGTAGATGTATTAGACTATGGCCTGCAATTTTCATATAGTAAATCTGACGGAAAATAGCAAGTAAAATAAACATTGCTTAAGGCTTGCTTATGTAAAGCGTACCGACTGTTGAAAGGTGGGAACTGATCAGCCAGAAATTTGAGTTGACAGTGTTTTTAACATTACGTCAGAGATTGTTTTGACCAGTTTATGTTTTCATCTTTCTTCTCGTGACGTCAATAAATACCTCTTAAGAAAATGTTGCGTTAAAAAAAAGAATTATTAGCCAGATTACCCCAAAACTTTACGACTGAAGAGACAAACCGTGAAAGAGCTATTGAGAATATATAAAAGAGATAAGAAATACTGAAACACGTACCAATTAGTTACTGTTCTATTTAAAATGTAAAAAGAACTATGAATAACAATTTGTTTTTTGTTTTTTAGATATATTCAAGACACACGTAGACGCGACGTTTTCTTTCGGTTTTATTTCAAGACAAATTAATTCTAAACTTTAATAATAAGTCTCGGATGGCTGGAAACTTATGGCCAGAACTAAAATGTTTACAGATCTTATATTGTAAAAACCGAATAATTAACTAATTAATTTCAAACTGTAAATTTATACTCTTGTAAAAACTAAAATTATGGACAGCATACTAAGAACTATAAAAATACGTAACCCGTTCAGATAAAACTTATACCAGATCCACTTAAAAGTTTTTAGAAAAATAATTTTTCATAACTTATATACCATACCTCATGCTATGCTGGATATGGTTGAGTGTTTTCAATCTCAGATGTGATTCTGGTTTGTTTATATCGCCCACCACTTGGGCCCCTTCGTATAGAGGGACAGTTGAAGTTCCGCTCTCGTGGTCAGAAGTTGGAAAGATCGTTTCTATTAGAAATAAACGATTTAGGTTCAATGCAAAAAAAATAATAATTTTGTAATCAATAAAAAGTAAAGTTTTTTATTACTAAGATGAAAATTAGTCTAAAATTCAAAATAGTTATAAACACAGGTCTTCAATAAGACTGGCAACAATCCCATGTTTGTATTTCTATATGCTGACCTGAAAAATCAAGATTTGTCGTGAGATTGCTCCAGCTATTTGATTTTTCTAAAGATCATATTTCTCCCACCAGATGTCCTTTTGCTAGTGATACCATTTGTAGGACGTGTCTGATTACATCACTGATGAAACGGGCAACCTTTTGTGTCTTCTTCATTAAAAGCACTTATTTTAAATTGCCCAAAATATATCTAATTTTAGAATTCGGTGAACGTTCAGGTCTCTTAAGCTTATTCTCTATGCGAACTAGAAAAATAACTAAAAGAAGAGTGGGTGCTCATATTTCACAGCTCATTGGCGCAAAAACGCGCTTCGCAATGAAAGCTGTGGGAGCGTTATAAGAGTGACGGAGAAATCCCACTATTCGGTCAGACTCTGCGTATTGCCGTTCCAATGTAAGGAAGGAATCTGAAACACTGTGCATCTAAAGTGGGATTAACCCTAAATATCGCCAAGAGTTGTCTTATAACCAGTCAATAAATTACTAACATATCCAACATCTTAAGAATTCCAGTATCACCAAGACAAGTGTTTCCTATAACTAACATAATGGTTCTCATGGTACTTGTTACTAACGTAACCAATTAAGTAGTAACAAGATAATTTGTAGAAAAAAAACAACAATATCGTAAGATACTTCACGTCACCAAAACGACTTGTCAGTAACATTGTAGGAATTTCCAGACTGCCAGTTAGTTCTTTACTTAACTAATTAACACACACACACACACAAACAAACAAACGATTATTAACAACTACGAACCAGCTGATCTATGTCAAACAATGTCTGCCTTTGTGATATTTAACATAAAATAACTAATTTCTTTTGTTCCTGACAATATCGATATGAAGCCAAGGATGTTAGGTCCTGTTTAGTATAACAGTTATTGACAGTTACTGTTCAGTGTAAATCTATGAAATGAAGCTACCAATTCTCAATGAATCGTTCCAGACTTAACTGTATATAACTTCCTCGACGAAAGCAGTAGGGTGGTAAACAGAGGAAACACACTATTTCCTTTGTTATCATAAACCAGAGACGCCTTGCTAAAGGTGGGAGTCTATAGCGGAAACTGATGGATACAAACCGGAAGTGACGGCTTAAGTAAGAAGCTACAATAACTACAATAACACGTCACTTCCGATGTCAAGCACGTGAATAGCATATCTCGCGGGGTAATGCAGGTTCACTCCAGTCCTTTCCCGACTACTTATTAACAACTTATCATTTAATGCTTCCGATTCCGCACTGCCTATAGCGAGATCTCATTATTTTAAGGAAGTGTAATATTCTTGATAACATCCAACTTTTGGTGGATATCCTTGAAAATTAATTAGGGTCCGAGTTAAAGGTCACTATTCAAGTTCTGACCACAGTAATAAGGGAAAGGAATAGAATTGGTTTTATAGCAAGTGTTCATAGCAAATATGGCACAGCTGTAATGAGTACTCGTGCAAACGTTCATGCTTACATAAGTATATTGATGGAATATTTGTCCCCAACAATTAACATAATTAATACAAATACGCAAGTATCTCTTGCAAACAAGCTATACACATACATAAATATACGTTTGTATAAAGTTCTATTTATTGTATTTATTCAACAAGCACAAATATTTTATTGGTTTATTCTCTAATTTCTTGGACTCTTTAACCATCATGATCGTTTGAAGTTCACGTTGTAAGTAAACATTTGTTTATTCGAGGAATTTATAATTTTAATTTCTATTAATTTAACTAACGTCATTTCCTGAACCGTGTTTCGCTTACATTTAAATTACACTAACTTGGGTTATACCAAATGTCTACTCCTTCCGATCCGTGTTGTGTCTACATTCAACTCTTGCTAAGGCTTCTTATATCTACAAAGTCAACTTTTTCTATCCTTGTTATACCTATATCTAACTTAAGTAGATCTAGACTATATTAAAAAATTCAAATCCTTTTGATTCTTCTTAAGCCTACATTTCATTCACTGTAGCGAATATGATACCTAAAGACAACTCTGTTTGATCTGTACGATTCTTAATCTGCATTATGTCAAAAATATACTCAAATTAATCAGAGTTAAGACAAAAATAGACGTGTATTATCTCGCTTTATGTAATTCACTCTTACTAGTCTGCATTAGACAGAAATATGTTAATTCACATTAAAACTACCCTGGGTTGTTTTCAAAATTAATTTTCACTAATCTTAATCTGGTTTACTTAATTTTAAATAACGTAATAAAGAAACTTAGTGAACATACACAAATAAATACAATAGGAAATGTAAGTTTATATGTAAGATAAGTGTGATATGTTTTTAAAAGTAATGAAATATATGCTGTAAATAGATATATTCTTAACTTCTCTTTTCATTCCAGTAAACTAATTGTGTTATTTATTATTTTTATGAATAATGTTACACGTATCTAGATAGCTCGAAGTAGTATAAATGTTGATTCCCTGGTATTGAAAGTTAGAATCATTGTGACTAAGTGAAACTAAAGTTGTTTTCATCTATGAATAAAATCATCCAGATCCTTTGTTTGCACTCACTCTATATGACAACAACAATGAACAAATATTAAAGCTCGTGTGTTACCATCAACACCAGGTTCATTGTGGAACTAACACATTGCGGTGCCTTCAATAATATCCCCTCTGTGAATAAATAGAAAGGTTAGTTAACAACAGTACCAGGTTCACTGTGAAGCTAAAGCATTGCGTTTTTCAATAATATCCCCCTCTGTCAATAAATAACAAAGTTCGTGCGTTGCAAACCAGACGAGGTTCACCAAGGAGCTAACACATTATGGTGCCTTCAAAAGTATCCACCGTGGCTTATAACAGTATCCCCTCTGCCGACAAACAGTAAGATTCGTGTGTTACCAATAACACCATGTTCACGGTACCTTCAACAGTATTCTCACTGCCAGAAGATGATAATTATTAATTTACTGTGTGCTTTAGTATACAAAATATGAGATGTTTTGTTTTTAAATAGTATATGCCTCACTTGTCATTTTCTCGCATATTGATAGAAATATGAAAAGTTGCGTTAGATCTGTAATTTCTGTAATTCCATAAATACTTGCTCTACCACAGTTAATAATAAGTTACTGGTAGTGATATATAAAAAAGAGCAATGTTCTCTTGTTATTTCTATATATATTAAACATATTTATTAAAGACAGGTAGAAATACTTATTTTTCTTTCATTCGTCATTATTGAATGTTTTTACGCCCAAGACGGATGGCGAGGTACACATTATCTTGTTCTGCCTGTACTGTTAATGGATTAGAGGCAGACAGCAAAACTTACGTCACCCTACATTATCAACAAGAACTTCTGAGTGAAAGTAAAGAAGAATGTATAATAATAAGTCAATCACACTATATCTACTATATCCAATGCCGACAAAGTATTTCATCTAATACCAGGACTCTTCAGGCCGGCTGTGAAGACAGCTTGTGGTAGAACCGTTATTAATATTAGAACGTAATTGATAACAACGGTTATGGTGTGAACAAAAGTAAGACGGTGAAGTGTAATTTATTTGTGCCATTCTTAACTGTTAAAACGTCCTATGTTAGCAAACCTTTTATTCTCATTGTTCACTGTTAGATGTTATTATGCCAGAGGTAGACAGAAAAGGAATATTATTTTGTAATTCCCATATCATTAGATGATGAATGCTGTAATACTTTGTAAATCTCAAGGCCTAAGTTGTCTTGTCTATACTAACCAGTTGTTATACTAGAAACATTAATATAGAAGATGAAACGAGAAAAAAATATCATCGTTTTTCTGTTTGTGGTTTTCTTTGTTAAAATTTTACATTATATTTTGTATATTGTACATATATTAGCACAGTATCTTTTAAAGAAATAAGTTTAGCCAAAAACTAGTGAATGAAATATCCTTCATTCAACCCCGTACAGAGGTCTGTAGCTTAGTTAAACTGTAATATGAATTAAAAAATTGACACAAAGGTTTCTTTTTTCTTCATTAGTTCCAAGATTGTATTGTTTCACACGAAAGGCGTTTCTACGCAACCATGTACGTTATAACTAAAGCCGTAATCGGCTTCCTTCATGACTTGAATAAACGCAATTCTATAAGTTGCTATAAAACTTTGTGTAGACGCTGCTGTCTCCAAGGGAACCAAGCACGGTTTATTTGAAGAAGTCTGTTTGCAAAAAATATAACCTTCAAATTTAAAGATGTTACTTACATCGGCCAAAACTATAACCACACTCTATACTATAACTAAAATTACATATAACTGGCTTAGATCTAGATAACAAGCCACGCATTTGTAAACACGTATGAATTTAGCAGATATATTTTCGTCTAATGGGCCGTGCATGGCGTAGTGATTAGCTTGTTTGTTTGTTTGTAATTAAGCACAAAGCTACACAATGGGTTATCTGTGCTCTGCCCACCCCGGGTATCGAAACCCGGATTTTAGCGCTGTAAGTCCGCAGACATACTGCTGTGCCACTGGGAGGTTAATGATTAGCGTACCTAGAACCGTAGAATACACTCCTCACTTCCAGCAGTGAGTGCGTTATAACAGTGACAGACAGTCTCACTACTCGATTAATTTTAATCGTGTAGGCAGCAGGTGTTGCTAAATAGTCACCTTCTTTCTGGTCAGAGGACGCAAGATGCCCTATGGTAAAACTCTGAATTTCGAACAAAATGGCCTTATGGTAAAGCCCTGGATTTCGGACAAGATGGCCTTATGGTAAAGCTCTGGATTTCGGAGCTGGCGAGCCGTGACCGATTCCGTGCGATACCTCAAAATATTATACGTACTTTAAGTTATGGGTGCATTATAAGAATGACAGTGAATCCTTTACTGTGGGCGATAGGTTGTAGGATGCTATTTATTGGTTGCCTTCCCTCTGATCATTAGTTCAAAATTAGGGACTGAAGCAGATAGCCTTAGTAGCTTCGCTTTAAATGAATACAAATGCAAAATCTCCTCTGGTCAGCAGCTCTAATTTAGGGGCGGCTTTGCTCGAGCCTTGTACTCTCCCTCTTAACCACGTGTCACATAAAGTGCTGTTGAGATTCAAAATGTCAAATGCTATTAATCCTTTATAGGGTGTTAATAGAGTTTGGATTTAATGGTTTCAGTTTTATAAAACATTCTCGGTGTAATTTTCTAGCAAATTACTCATTAAAATTATGTAGTGAATTACCGTAATTCTGGGTTAATCAATTGTAATTTGCAGCAAGTAATTTGTTAATATGTTGCATTATATTGCTGTAACTCTGTAGCAAAGTCCGTGTTAAGGCTTTGGGTTTAATTTATTCACTAAGAATCTCAGCAAGTTACTTAGCAATATTTTATAGAAAATTACGTTTTAAAACTTTAAAGTAAACTACTTTTTAACGTAGGTTAAAATCATGTTTTCCAAATGTTTTTTTTTTCTCATTGTTACCTTATAGATGATACATTATAACTTGATTTCGCAAGAAGAACTATCGTTAGACACACAACATTGCATGCACTTGAAAGACTAAGTTTCGGCAGCTGCAATAAGACTATAGTCATGTCTGTCACTCCTCATTCAGAGACACATTTTACGTCCGACTCGATTTCCACCACGTGATGGAATTCCTCAATGTATGATTAATTGCATATAGTGTTAGTTAAAAGTTACATATGATGTATCGTTAGAATTACTCAGTCAGCTTTGAGCTTATAAAACCTTATAACTGACTTACCATGGAAACACGCAGGATAAAAAAAAATATATGAAAAAATGAGAAACCTGATAAGTCGAGCGTTTTCCGAAAGCTCTCGGGCTATCAACGTGGTATTTGATATTACCCTCCATTTCTGCCGCTATATTACACCGGTTGAATAAACCTAATAATAATCAGTTACATTAGCAGCAGTCAGGACAGGACCATTAGCCTCGACATGTGTTGTAAACAGAATTTTCATGAAAAAACAAAAACACTCCTTATCAGACTAAAGACATAAACATCGTCCATGTTTCCACACTTGTTAACGTCATAATTACCAACAAGAAGATGGTAAACTGATGAACAAGAAAGCTGTAATTCAGTTTTTACCCTCTTGTTTCTCTCGTATAACAAGATTCACGTACATACCTGGTGTTTGTAATGCTAGATTTTGTCTGTATATCAAGTTGAATCAGGCATGTAACAACCCAAATTATGAATTAAGTTTCCAATGAGAGAACAGTAACATAGAATTAAAACTATAACATCAATTTACAGTTGATGAAATGGCCAATTTTAGAAAATCAAAAATATCATGTTGTTTAAATTCGTTACAAAACATTTCTGTGATTTTTACCAAAACCTAGCAAGTAAACCTAGATTTGTACACTCATCTGTGTCCACTGGACAGAATAAACGTTACACTAAAAAGCCAAAGTTTGTTAATATGCTTATATCGTTGAATGTAATTACATGATTAGAGAGATATTAATTGTCGTATTGATGAATAAGGAATATAATACATAACGTAAATCATATAAAATAAACTTGTAAATAATTTCCTTATTAACTAATTTTTCCTTGTCACACCTACAAATATTTGTTAATCTATATCTTTTATTTCGCCAGTGCTGATAACCAAATACTGGATAAAACATCACACAAGGTGGCTCCACTTATTGAAGGGTCTGTGGAGACAGACATCTTGTCGGAAATGATAAGTTAGTCTGAATACACGAAGTCCATAAATATCAAGTCAGTTCCTGCTTTGTCGAGACATACAATTATTTACAAGCGCAAGAAAAAGAAGAAAAACCTCTATAAATGCAAATTCAGAATAAAAAACTTATTTGTTATTTTAAGATGCTTATTTAGGTAATTCTTACATTACAAAATTCGCTGTAGTTTTAGAGTATGCGGAAACAAGTCTGAAAAACTTTAATTTCTCTGTAGCAATTGGTTTAATAGCGTTAGTTGAAAGAAGAAAAGTAAAGAAGAAGCAGCTTTTAAATTTGGATTATATTACGTAAAACACACTCTTACCTTACCAGTAATTTTTAAACTAACTCCAGGAATACAAGTCTAAAAGAAATTTTGTATCCAAATTTTATGTGACAAATGAAAAATGTAACTAGAATTATGTTGTTGTTACCATTATTACTACTGTAGTTTCTAGTACGAGCACCAGATTTATATCTTACTTACCAAGTCCGTTGAGGCTCTTTCTCATACCGAATATCAGTGTACTATCGTTGTAACAATGATGGGCCAATTTATCTTATACCTGCAGATTTCATACCATATAAACGCTCATAATATTCAAAAAACAATAACCCGACAGGGTGCAGCACTGTTTAACAAACTAGCGTGATGAGCACGTGCATGTGATCTAGGCAAGCGCGTGCACGAAGTCTTAGAAAGAAGTCGTACGTGTGCGCGTTAGAGTACGATATAGACGTCTCCCTTCAGACTTTTTGATTAGAGGTGGAGTTTACTCGTCACATGACCAAAAAAGTATGATTGTGATTGGTTACCCTAATTTATCAAGAGAGCCACCTGCTTTGAGGCTGCGATTCATTTGTGTGGTTGCTTTATGTCCAGAAGAGGAACTTCGTTTAGAGGCTTATCTGGATGGCTGTTCAATGCTTTGAAAAGAAGTTTTGTTTAGAGATTGGCTCATCTGTGTGACTGTCTGATACTCTGAAGAGGTGATTTTTAATGACAGTGGCTCATCTCGTAGTTTTGTGCTATTAAGACACAATTGTAGATGTTACATTTATTGTAGATGTTACATCTTCTAAACAAAAACATGTTTTAAGCTGATAATCTAAGTTATATTTGTATAATTACTTTTATGATATTTTAAACAATAATTTTTTTTGAAATTTAAACTATAATTATGAAGTCTTATAACATTAAATAAGAGAGTTTCGATATCAATTGGTAGGCACAGCATAGATAGCCTATTGCATAGTTTGTGCTTAATAACAAACAATTTAAACTGAAATAATCGAATAAATATATGCAATAACGTGATAGTTGATTAGCTGACATTCTAGTCAAAGAATTTGTACTGCTAGAATGTTCTGTATAGAGTGTGTTAAGTCCTAAATATCTTTACATTTCTGATTAGAAATCTATGAGACAAGCAAAGTGAAACTGATAGGATAACAAACTGATCTGGGTGGCATAAGTAATATGTCGTTTTCATTTTTATTATCTGATTTTGTCCAAAACTTGTTCATAACGAGAGGAGGTTTTCATGTGAAATTATTATTCAAGTTGAGCGGGCGTGGCCTACTGTTAGCGTGCTCAGACTATGAATTCGAGAAGATTCGCAACCTGTTGCTACAAAAAACGCTTTCCACAATTTGAGGCCATGGGTTCGCTATAAGAGTGACAGTCAAGTCCCACTATTCGGTTAGACAAGCGTAGTTCGAGAGTGGCCGGTGAGTGCTATTGAATAGCTAATTTACCTCTATTCCATCAGCTCAAAATGAGGAATGACTATGCGCAGGTAAATTTTTGTGTAACTTTGAGAGAGAATTTTGAAGCAAACAAATAGTTATTGAATTTACACGGAACAGCGAATGCGTGTGCTACACCATATAAAACTGATTGTTACTAAACAGACATCATATTCTGTTAGTATGTCCCTTTTCATTTTGTAATATAAAGGGAATTTCCAAAGTATTAATTTCTGTAATGCGGGGCAGTCTAAAACTCTTAATGTTAAAACAAAAAACATTAACATGGCTTAGTGTGCTTAAATATGAACATTCACATGTAAACCTTAGATATTTCAAGAGAGACACTTTCCAATACTATATAGAAAAGATCGAACAATTCTAGTAACGAAAACAATATAACAATGGCGTTAAGTTATACATATAACCTACTTAATGTGGAAAATACTTAACGTGGCTTATCGAATTTAAGCACAGTAAGCGTCTGTTACAGTAATCATTTTACATTGTCCCTATATATTATGCTACTACTCTTAGTGACAAGGAAGCACGTGATAATCATCAGTTCCCGAATAAGGGAAGTGGTAACCTCGAGTGCAAGTGTAACGCCTTGTATTGTACAATGTTTAATTTGATGTATTTCAGACCCGCATATTTGGTAAGTGAGGTAAGACAGTAAAAGGATCGTGTTAAGTATGTTACAATAGGTTGTTTTCTACGCAAACGTTTTCCTTGCTAGTTGTTAAACGATTGTTCTTATCCGCGTATGTAGATGATAAAACAGGAAAGCGGAAAGATCAAACATAAATCATGTTAATGTAAAATCAGTTAACAGGAACTAAAACTACATTGTTGTTAAAACATTAAAATGTAAATCATCTATAGCTAAACAAACTTTGCCGCCCTTCCAGCCGGATCGTATGAAAGTTATTTGGGCAAATAGAATCCGGGTATTTCTCTAAAAACATCTGATATAAACTTCAGCTTTTCTCGAATAACTGAAAAAAAAAGTCTTAGTACCAAATGGTTCGTTTCTTCAGTTTTTAAAAGAGAAAGAGAATAGAATCCACGCTAGCTCTTAAACTGCTTAAACAAAAATCATGTGTGATAGAGGGCGTTCAGTAAAGATAAAGGGAACAACCTTATGTCCTCAATTAAAGAAGTATTATCAATAAATATACTTATAAAGGATGCCCCTTTACCTTTATTGAACGTTCTCTATCACTTGGGATTTCCGTTTAAAAATATTAAAAGCTAATGTACATTTTATCCTCTTTTTCTTTCACCAACTGAAAATGTTTCTCTTAGGAAGAGAAATGTCTTGCATAGGATTTCTTTTGAGTTGCCTTGGAGAAGCTGAGGTATTTTCAAAAGATTTACTCAACTTCTTGACCAATGTTTGTTATTTTTCTCTAACAATTTAGCCCCCAGTGACTCAGCAGTAAGTCTGAAGGCTTATATCACTAAAAACCGGGTTTCAATACCCGTTGTTGGCACAGCACAGATAGCCTATTGCGTAGCTTTGTGCTTACTAACAAATAAACTCATAACTTAAGGTATAATCAGCCGTTAGAAGCGTTTGGTATTGGATAACTACATTGATCGATCTATTTCCACGTTTAAGATCAAAAATTTGTTTTACAGTTAAAAGGAAATATTCTTTTCTCAGAGAAAACGGAATGTTTGTTCTAAGAGTTTTACATAAATGGTTCGGCATATAAATATATCTATAGTTACAATATAGTTAAAACTCTTGGAAAATATCCTGACTGGAGTTGGTCTAGAACACTATGTTTGTCCACATAATTACCAATATCATTCCGAGGTAAAAATCAGTATTTACTTGTGAAAGTTCGATTTCAGAAGCACGAGAAGCTACTGGTAATGTACTTCAAGTGTAAACATGAAACATGGCTTACTCACGAACAAACTTGACTTTTTCTTCTATTTGTTCCTGAATGATATTGCACTAAATTTTGTTGTATCATTACATTTATGTAACATTAAATGTGTACTGGAATACAAATCTAAAAGAAACATGCTGTAAATGTATTGTTTTTCGTTTGTATTTCTAAACAAAATGAGTCTTTGCGATATTAATTCTAATTGTCGTTTCATATGCAAACTTGGATACTTGTTTCCAAATAAATGTATTCAAATGCAAACCATGTTTAACTTTATTATTTGGGTTATGATAATAAGTTGTTGTTGTTTTTAAATACGATGTAGACATGATTTTTGACGTCTTTGCAAATTTATTTAATTAATCTAATTTAAGCCAGGTTAAATGACTAGTTAAATGACAGGTTAAATGGTTAATAAACCACAAGTTTACTGGAGTACCACGAGAAAAAAAAAGAAAAGATATTACAGTTACTATGATTATATCAAACACTCCAAAAGAGCACTAAATAAATATACTACTTATACATTCCTTCTTGCTGAGCAGAACAAAAGAATATCTTTCTTCTTGAAAGAAGATAAAGTTTTAACTTCAAAGCGACTGATGGGACAGTCTTCACGGTTCAGACATCCTAATAAACGGCTCTTTGTTGTGACGTTATCACCAGTCTCAGGCTAGTTGCCGTCTCTAATTATCGTCTTGTAAGGGGGAGTTTTTCTGACATAAAGACCACCGAACCACACTGTCTATTCAACTCAGCCTAAAGGGTTTGGGGAAAGAGCAGGAACTTCTGGTTTGTTTTTGTGTTGATTACAAGTTTATCAATATACATCGCGCCTGTAACTGTCATTGCAATACGACGATATTCTATGTAACTGTTTATTTCTCTGTATGTTATCACATAAAGAGCCCCCTAACCCCCAAAGAAATAGGTAAATAATTAGATACCGTCCGGTTATCCCTGGGATTAAACATTTCTCGCTGGTGGAGATAGCTCTTCGTGACTGTAATAATTGTGTTGAAAAATATCATATAATATCGTATTATAGTTTTTATTTCTTTATTTCAAGCATTATCTTTATAAACTATATTTTCATTTTGTATTTTATTTTAACAATTTTTGTATTTTAACATATTTTTTGTATATCACTTACACGTACGTAATATGTGTATAACATGTTTTTTTTTTATTTTAGCGACTTACTAAGTATACTATGTACTTTATTATATCACCACGCCCACTATATACAGTGCACGTACTTTGTTAATAATTTTACGATTTACTACCTGTAGTCCCCAGTAGTAAGTCTGAGGTCCCACACCGCTAAAAACCAGATTTTGGTACTCGTAGTAGGCGCGTACTGATAGCCCATACTTAAAAACAAACAAGAAAAATTACCTGTAGTTTACACGGTATGTTTGATTTTAACCTTACAACTCAAAGTCGATATATAACCTACTTTTATACTAACGCCACCTCTCACTGTAACGCTACGGCTCGTTACTCGAAACTACGCTTTTTGTTATAATCGTTACAACTTACTAACAGTCTTCAATCTGTGCTTTATTTGCTACGTCGCAACGCAATACCTCCAAGGTTTTACATTCAACCTTAAATTATTTTGTTGATGGTTAACTAGGAGATTGCTCTAGTAAACCAATAATACTGATCAGAAAATAACGTAAGTTGCAAGTGTTTGAGTTATACTTTATAAACTTATTTGGTATTTACTTTCGTATCTCTATTTGGTTAAAGTGTGCAATTAGGGTTTTACATTAATATATTAAAGGTATTTTTTTTTACAGTGGGCTTTCTTACTATTCAACGTTAAAAAGCTATAAGCCTTTCTATGCATTAATAGTTAGACCAATTAAGAAACTTAAACTATATATTTTGTAAATATTTTACTTTATTCTTAAAATAACAGGCAATGAAAAGCTGTCAACTTTTTCTTAATTTTGATATCAAAGTTGTATTCGTATAATAATAATGGTTTTATCAACAGATAAAGTTTTGTTCAGTAAAAGTAAAACCACGTCCAGTTTCATTGATCCTTTTAT